ATTTCTGCAACTAATGTTCTGACTGTTGCAAGTTCAGCGCAAAAGCGCATGATCACACCGGTAAGACTGATGCGATGCTTCCCGGGCTGTAACATGATTGCACACATCTCTAACGTTCGGGAAGAGGAGTGCCTGCTTGCCTGCAGGGGAAGCGCTCCGGCAGTTGTGGGAGTGCGCTCAACAAAACACAGCCCTTTAACAAAACAAAACACAGCCCTTTATTAGTACAATCTCAGAAAAGTAATTAAAAAACAAAGTAAGCAACCAATCCGGGATCCGCCCGGCAGCGATTCCAAGCTGCTAGGACAAACGCAAAAGTTTCCAGCGGCAGCAGCTCCAAGCTGTCGCCGCCCACCTCCAAATTTCACAAGACAAAACAATCACAATAACAATTTCATTTCCAGTCGCCACATTAAATATCACGAAGGGGGGACCTCGAGCCAAGAGACGGGACATTTGCATATTACAGGAAACTAAGGGCAACTGGACAAGGCGAAGGGGGTTGAGCCTCCAACTTCACTTCCTTGTTACTCGCTCCTTCTTCCTTTTGCAACACACCACCGCTCGCTTGAGCTTTGTCCCCGAGCTCCCAGTCTTCTTTCTTTCTTTTTCCTCCTTTTTTCTTCCTTTTACTCGAATGCTTATATCCTCCATCATGTGTTTCTATGCGTCTGGCGCCTTCTCTTCATTCCCAGTATGAACTTTCCCTCAGGTACTTCCGGCGGGACTTTTCGCAAGTGATCGAGCTGCACTTTGAGAGCTTGCTGTCTCTTCTCGATCAGTTGCACTACCGCACTATTATCCGTTAACCTCAGAATACGGTAGGGACCAACGTATTTGCGAACGAACTTGGGATGCCGTGTCCTCGTCAGTTCTGACGACATGTATACCACTACCGTTCGTCCACGTGGAACTGCTCGAGCTTTACACGATTACGCTCGTCGTAATATCGCTCGGCCCTCTCTTGTTCCTTTTTTATATGCCCCAAAATCTTGAAGCCCCAGCAACAGTTCCGTGCGATAGTCTTTCAAATCTATCATGTACCTGGTGAATTGCTGCGCGCTGCTCTACGGCCAAATAGGATCAATCCGATAAAGCAGAAAATAGGGACTCTCGCCTGTTTTGTCTTGTGGTGTGGTATTATAACTATACAAGACAAACGGCAATTTGCAATCCCATTCCATGGGCA